CTACTAAAGCAGCAGCATGGATGATGAATTTGCTTCACAGTTCGAAACGACAAAAGCAACATTATCTGAAAACCATCAGCTTCGCAGACAAGGGCCAGGTCGAAACTGCAGTTGCCATCCACTATCGCACAGACCCATGTTTTGCGCTGTTTTTAAATAAACTACGTTTCAAAACATCCTCAGATGTATTATAACGCCACTGACGGACAGATGCACAAAAAGACATTGTGAAAAAATAGTCACTATATAAATTAATTATAAATTTTAAACAAGTCATATAAAACAAACCCACAGTAATTTGACAAAACAAATGTTACTGGTCTTTGGCAGATAACAAAATTTGCATTAGGTATGTTAAACGTGGTCTTCGAAGTCCAGCCTGCCGTTCTAATCGTGAGGACCGCGCAAGGTTCTACGTTGATTATCGTGAAGGTCTGTCTTGAAACCTGAAACAGGCGGCTAATAACGCTCTGGCGAAACTGTTTTAGGCTAATAACCCATTCTGAAAATTTTTTCTGATTATGAAAACCATAAAAAATGGTTACTAGGTTTATCTTCGACAACTTCATATCATTCCCTGTACACGAAAGATAAGGAAACTGATGGAGAAATGTGGTTAATCACATGCTAACTGTCCAGCCATGACAAAAGTTTCAGAGGCAATAAACACAGACATACTTTGGTAAAAGTCAGCCGTCATGTCCTGAATTCGGCAAAAATGTCTAAAATTCGCAAGGTAAGTCAATAAATCGAATCATGCGACAAAAATAAGGAAGGGAAGCGTAAGGACCATCTCAAAGCCATAGGTTTCCTAATCGGTATGGAAGAAGACTAGATTAGTGCTTCAGTGTAAAAGCTTCGAGGTGTACCGACGGAGAAGGCTGAAAGATTTAAACTAAGTAGGGTTTGATTTTAATTTAAATAAAGAAATTAACAATTTAAATCTATCTCTGAATACGCTGTACTGCTTATATAAATTATCACGATGTGCATGAGGTCTACGGGTCTTGTGCATTGCAGCGGTACAAAGCTGCTAAACAATATCAAATACTTCCACTATACCTTTACGAAAAATCGGCACAATATAAATACGAGAACTTTGCCGCTGACTGCTCCCAGTCAGAGTAATTAAGCCGTTGATGGTTTTAAGCCTGGATGAGAAACGAGGAGGACTGAAGACCGTGGTGAGTTTTCCTGCAATACTTAGCAACTTCTACTAACTGCCGCTATCGAACGTTATAATGGATAGGTCGTTGCCCGGGTTCCCAAAGATCTTATAGTCTGCTAGCGAATTGAAGCAGACTCATAAAAGTCAACTTTCAGAACATGCTTTATGTTTTCTTGCAGCTGAGAGGATGGCAGCATGAAGTTCTACACCAAAATGACGAGGATACCAGCAAGCAACGGACTCGCTACGTGTTATGAACAAAAAAGACAGACGGCGATGTCACTGTGCCTTAAGCGAAGATTCCATGAGAACGACATCGATAGTATGCAGTGTCTGAGAGAACATCGGTACTACTTCTTCAGACTGAGAAGCGACAGCTGCGATGATTTGGGCACATGTTTCGAAAGCTTCCATTAACAAAGCCGATACATTTATTACTTGCTCGAATGACCGAAAGAAGACTGTGGGAACGGTCAAGACTGACTTGAGGAAAATGTCGTGACAGATTCTGCTATAGACTGAAACTTTCTTCTCTCATAGCACGAACGCTGGTACAAGATCGGTAAAGTTGGAGATACTGTCTGACGTGTCCACCTCCGCGGCGCGACAGGATGAGCGGTCATCGAAACTGACGGCGCAGCTACAAGAAGAAAATAATAGACTTTGCTTTAACTTATCGCAGGTACAGCCAATCCAACTTATAGAATCCAAGGTTTCCGTAACAATTCCCTTTATCCCGAAAGTATCAGAAGTACTCAATCACCTCTGACAAGAGAAGGGTTATGTTTTTATAAGTTAAGGTAATACAGTAGGTTTCCCTCTCATATAAAAAAATTCAGGCTGATCCTAACGAAGAAGCTAGTAAACTGGCATATAACAGGAAATGCTATGCTTGTAATGGTGTATCGGAAATACATTAAGGGCTCTTAAGGTGAGGCTGACGGAACATCGCGAACAACAACCTTTCTCTTTTGGTCATTTTAAGCCACGACATATATCATAATTATGGACTTACTGCGGCCAATATCTTCATCATTGCCAGAGATTAGGACAGAAACTGTTAGTAAAAGCAGCTATGGGAATTTTCTAATGTGTGAAATCTTTATACTGCATTTTATGTCATTTGTCCTACTTCGATTTTTGCTTATTTCGCATTCTGAAGATGACCATGGTTGTGGTTCGAAACGCTTCCATTAATCGACTGAATCGTCTCGCAAATGCGCCTTCGGCAATTGAATCAAAAGTCCTTCCGCTGTGGATTCTCACTTCAATACCGGTACTGAATCAGAAATGAATTCTAGATTCTTGAAATGCTAAGCTAACATTCTGTAAAGACCATGAAGCCGTAATGGCGGCAGTAGGCGGGCATCTAGAACCAAAGAATCGATGCATTTACGCCGAGTAAAGCCTACATCAGAAAATGAAATGCTATGACTACCGGCGGAATTGAAAAACAACAATGTGGTGGCCACCCCAGAACATCGGAATTATCTTCTGTGTAATAAAATAAGAATTTATTCATAACTTTAAAACACTTCGAAATGACTTGAAGTATGATCAAAAAATACGTGAAAAGCAATATTAATATTAATACTGCTTTGTTATTTAACACTGCAAGTCAAACTTCGTTGCCAAATTAAAAACACACCAATGGAGCAGTCTAAATACAGAGCAGAAAGCTCATATTACAACAGGGAACAGTTTTACTCACGGTGACACTTTACATCCAGGAATCCGACTCTGGATAAATTTTGCTGCAACTTCTGCTTTAGATTTCCCAACATCTGCCATCCTAAGAAAATGAGCTGGTTGAAAGAAACATTAACATAAATCTTCACAAACTTTCTAAATGCAATGCCATACATTTAATTTAGCAAATACTCAACTTCTCCCAATCTGAAAACTATTTAAATCTATCTTAGGAGTAGCGCATATCGAAGCAACTTCTTCTTCCTTCTGGCCAATTTTCTTTCACATAAGTTCAGTGTATGAGCCAGTTACCAACATATTTCCTTGGCCCGGATCCCTGTGGTCACCCTCTGGAGCTCCAGTTCATTCCTTACAGCCGACAAAGTGCGCATTCTTTCCTTTCATATCGCCTCTTCACTTTGCTGTCACGAATGTTTAGACCACATTGCTTAGAGAGTCATTTTTCACTTACTGAACGAATGCAATCTGCTTTCGGTCAGCTGAATCAGATATCAGAGCTATCTTTAATTGCCTATCATAAAAATATTTCAGAAGTAATCCACCTGCATCCCTACACAAATATCAATATATCTGTATTTATACGGAATTAATTTTTGTGCAACTTCACAGATGTTCAACTACATACAGTATAGAATGTCTTAATAAGATTTTAAAGTCCTTTAGCTTTAATTCAATTGGTACCTTCTTACAACAGAGCAGAATGATCTCCCCATTTTAATCAATTCTTTAACGATCGACTTCCTAATTTTCTTGTATGACAGAATTAAAATACTTTAATGCTAACGTATCAGGAGCAGTTCGCTTTCCTCTTTATTCTGTCACTGCTGCCACTTCGGCTGTCGTTGCTGAAACAGTGTTTCATTTATTCTGTTCAATTTTGCTGAAGAAGATTTTTGATTTTGATGATTTTTCGGATGAAGCTCGCTTAACTGAAAGAGCAGCTCTCCATGCATCAGTTTCTTTCAATTCTTCTCTGCGTTCGCAACACAGCACTGCATCAATTGCTTTAAGTAAGCAATGTAAAACGTTCTGCAAATTTTTAATGGACATGTTTGTCACCATCGCAGAAATAGATTCAGTGCAGCCTCCATACTGAATCCCTACCCGAACAATCCGTGTAATTCACTGAAAGCATTCTATATTACCGTCTTAACCTCATTGTATGTTTCTGTTATTTCTAACGTACAGCTGGAGCATTAACTTTCCCATGCTCCACCATTTTGTCTCCCTGCGTAGTCTACCATAGGCTATTGCAAGAGTAGGAAAATCATATATGTTCTTTTGATGCTCCCAAAATCGATCTTAATGGAAATCACGTTCATCCTTAACTGAATTTGCATAAAGCCAAGTTAGGTTCAGTGGTATTACCTATGAATTAACAGGGCCAAGCAAGATATTTTGTTCCAGTCCGTCCGTACTCTATCCGACTGCGTCGATAAACTTTCTATTTTTCACTCGGAACAATGACTCTTCAACTTCATCAAATAATCATTATGACCAATTCCTGATTTTAAAGCATGATGTTTTTCTGGCATGTCCTGGACACCGCAAGTCGAAGGTACTAATTTCCTCTGTTGCTGTTTTTTTATAGCCAGCATTATGCGTAAAAATATTTTATTTCGCCTTCTAATATAAACTTCAAACATTAAATAAATATCGATAGTACGAAATGAAGGATTCCGAGTAGTTCGACAATATTACACTTAAGAAGACTGGAGCTCGTTGAGAAAAATTCTGAATCGGAAGAGGTTAGAAACGATACGAAATTGCGAAAAGCCGGTGGTAAAAATCATTAAATTCGCTGATTCACTACAGACCCAGGATGCGTAAATTAGAACTCGGTAAAGAAGGGTACTGAGTATTGATGAGGACATCATTTTAAAATTTAGAAGACATTCGCTAAGGTTTATGAAAGGTCAACAGAAAATGTACATTATACTACAAAGTGTAATCACATGATTTCATATTTCTGATTTTACTGAGAAAAAACACCGCTTCGGAATCCCAAATGTTTTTCACCTTTACAGATGTTAGGTTTCAGTCACTTAGATTAGTATTTTAGAGAAGCATGAATTTCACAAGTTTTGATGACAAGTGTAGAAATATAACTATATCAAAACGAGAAAACTTAATGCATGCACCTTCACAGCGATAGCAAAAAATATAACACTACAACTGAGAAAAAGATCTTACCGAAACAAAAACTGGCGATTAAGATTAGATATATCGATAGTATCCATGTCGATGACGTGAATGTCCTGGAATCCCATCAATCCCTTAAAACAACCTACGTAAACAATTAAGCCAATAAGTGTAGAAATTTACTAAATTTTTCAACAATTCGCAGCCTAAGCCGCCCGCGCCTACGACAAGAATTTTACACTGATGGATAAAATCAATATTCTAAAAAGAATAACAGCATTGTATGATAATCTGTCTTAAAATAAATGTACATACTTGGGGACTAGGTATGAACTCCGGGTGCGCAAACGGACCCGGCCTTTCGAGAAACTTCTTGAGATGAAACCAACGCTGGGGTGTGTTTGAGAATGACGATACCAATTCTTCATTTAATGATGCATTCGACATAACGACTGATATTTCAAAATCTAAAAGTAATACTGATGAACCAAACAAAACAACTAATATATCATCTCTGCGATGAAAATTACTACATTAGCTAAAAGTTACAATGCAACACCACTCTTTAACTAAAGATGTCACTAATATTGAATTAATCATATGATAATTTGCGCGTTTATTCGCTTTGTAAGCTAGCGAGTTGCTTCGGTTCGCAAAAACAGCATCTTCATGAAATGTTTACAAGTCAGTTGATCAGTCAGTCGAATTGACTTAACTGAACAAATGGTATCATATGTAGCCCTAGATATAACAAATCAACTAATTCGAAATAATAAAACAATCTGTGTGAAAGTGAATCCATTGTATCAAGCGAACCAATCTCCTGGCATGATCAAGACGGTAACAAACAAAGTTTTTCAAACCGAGAATGTTCTCGTCATCCATGTGATGTAGTCAGGTTTTCGCAAGAGAATGACACAAGTGTTGGTGCAAAGCGGCATAGTGAGAAGCGCCTTAATATCATAGAACTTCAAAACGATGGCATCGCAATTGATGAAAATTACCACAGGATAATGCAAGCTTTCGGCGAGTGTTCTTTTCGCGGCACTTAGCCATCCGCCCTTCCCGTCACGTTTCGTATTTCGGATACTCCCACAGCTAGTCACAGAAAGAACCAGAATCAAAGCTTAAAGAAGCCAGGGAATGGTACGTGCTGTAACTAAATACGCGCGACCTTAACATTTATGATGGTGTCAAAATCATGAGGGACAGATGGCTGAGTTTTACGGGGGGATTTGCCACCGCTCCCAACCCCTCCCCCCCCAATACTCCTCCTTTCTCATCAAGCATTAGAACAAGTAATGGAGGAGTTAGATTGAGGCTGTGATCATATCATACAAGAAATAAAAACGATTCGGTGATCCACCTCCATTTTACACCGGTTTTCTGTTACTGTCGCAGAAGTGTCAATTAACGCCGAGTGCGTCTGACGTTGTAAACGGTGTTAACAATTTAAAATATGTGGATAAGATGCAGAATAAACAGTAAACCTTACGAGCAAGCAGTCGCGGATAAAGAGAGAGTAATACTAAATGGTACGATGATTTAATCGTTACCTAAGCTGGTTTATACCATAGTAAAGTCCGTGACGTGGCGAGTATATGACGCCATTAAATAACATACGGCCAAAACTTTAATCCGTAGCTGGGCTCAAACACAATGGCGATGAGTATGCCACTAAGTGAACTTTTCACTAAGTTTCTATTATAGGTCATTAGCAGAGAGGCAAAACTTTGGAACCCATCTCTACAGTATATCGATTCTCCTGGGTTGATGCCTTGATCCTCTTCAAGGCTAGTGTGGAGCTAAACACTGCACATTCAGTTTGTTTCCAATAAACATTCTGCTCTCTGTGCCACAATGTTTCTTTCTAATGCACAATCGTCAAACAAGCATTTCATGGCGCTGTTTTCATGAAGTTAGTCTCCAGTTCTGCATATCCGCTTTAGTTTTGTCGTTGCTCAATTAACCGACACAACATTTATTTTTTGGTGAAATTTTTCAAGCAATGAACATTGATGGAGCCTCAACAGTTTTGAAAAATACACCATTCTGTCGTAATACACCATTGAGTCAACTTGTCAGTCCTACTATCTATCCATGGGCACAGCAGTTGGCCTTGGATAACGAGGTAACGTAATGAACTAAGTTATTTATTTCAGAAGAGTGCATTCCTCGAAACAGTGCAAGCCTAAGGTGCTGCACCAAAATGGTCTGAATTTTTTGTCCAATAATCACGACCGAAAACTGGAGGCAGCCTTAGCTATATTTACAGGCTAAACTTTATTTATTACAAACGCATATCTCATATTCTTGTCTATCTTCCATAAAATTATAAGAACATAATTAGTCTGTAGTCATTCATTCTACAGAATATGCCTTTAGAAACTTGTCGGTAACAAGTTCATTGATTTTATCAGAGACGTCGAACCGAGAAGCCAAACTGGCGAAGTTTCTGCACAACTGCTGCAGTAATGGTCAACTTCTCAAACGAGATGCGGAATGGTACAGTGTACTAAGAATCAAAACTGTATGCCAAAACAGTACAGTGAAGCGATAGCTGAATCACTCACATGAATTCCACCTCATCGTCGTACGTTAAGTTCTTCATTCAAACAGCTGCTAGCGCAGCCGTTTGACCCCGACCACCATTGCTGTTGATGCATTCTTGATGATATACAATTTATATTGTTTGTGTTTACTGTTTACACCCTGTGATGATTTTTAGTCAATTGTAAGGTGGATTAAGTAGAACTGCAGTCTGAAACGTGCATCTGCGACTACCGCATGCTCCACTGACTTCCCCCCTCCCTC